GAATGCCAATTGACTTGCATGGGCTCCACTGGAATATATTACAGCACAAAATAGTTGCAATGAAAATGTGGAGTGGATTTTCAATTAATGTATCTGGACCCAGATAAACTGCTCTTGGACTGGAATAACAGGTCCCAGAGTGAAAAATCCAGGTGGGTAGCCGTATTGGTCTGAAGCAGTACAGCAAAGTTTGTTTCCAGTGGCACCTTTAAGACCAATAATGCTTTATTCAAAGTGTAAGCTGTCATGCATAAACCATACTTCTTCAGGTCCCAGAATGGAAAGACAGACCCTAGAAATTAGTGCTCTGGGACTGGAATGGCAACCACCACCCCCAATTGGAATGACGGCCCTTGGGAGTAGCAGAACTTTTCTGGGAGTGGAATAATGACACCCAGATTGGAACGAAAACCCCTGGTAGTAGTAGTTTCCAGGTTCCTACCAGGAATTACTCCATCAACTTCTTTCCATGGAGACCAAAGTACGCATACAGGAGCAACCTCTGCTATGGTACTTTTGGTCATTAGCCACTAAAAATACCAGCAGATGGGTCAGCCTGCCCAGAAGAGTCTTGCCAGGGGAACTTCATGCCAGAAGACTGCATGGTGTTCCACTGCAGCTGCAGACGACGGTATTATGCAGCTTGCCTACCAGCCACCATCAACCTGCCAACATATTTCATATGCAAACAGTTTGTGCGCTAGAGATAATAACAAACCAGTTTTGTTCAACAGTTAATACTGTGTGGGTAAATTTTCATTCATGAATCCTCCTTGCAATTGCCATACTGAACAGTGAGTAGGAGTGTGTGTGAAGAGGTGGAGGTCTATAGAGAGATCAGATATTGAAATCTTCATATATGAAAGAATGTATCACCTAGAGCAGGTGTCCCTAACATGGTGCCCATGGGTGCCATGGTGCCTACCAGGACTTTGACTGGTACCCACTAAGTGTTTTCAGAAAGTGGGTGGGGCCAGATAGGACTTTTGCCCAACAACGTTTCTGATCGGCTGTGCAGATTTTTTAAATAATTCCTTTAGCAGCAGCTGCCACCACATCACAAGGATCTTCACTGAGTGATTGAAGGTATGCTGTGGCCATCCTTTTCTGGCTGGCTCTGCCTCCTGCAGCAGACTTTGCAAAGAAACATAACAGCTGACAGGCAGGACCAGTATTTAGGTGGAGCTGATGGAGGAATAATTACACAACTTCAAGAAACATTATTTAAAATGTAAGGGATTTCAATCCACATTATGGTTTGTGATTATAGTTGCAGTGCACTAATTCTAATCCCAGGAGCCACCATTCCACTCTAGGGGCTGTCATTCCAATCCCAGAACAGTTCTTCTACTCCCAGAGGCCATCATTCCAGTTGGGAGGGGGCTGTCATTCCAGTTCCAGAACACTTCTGCTATTCCGAGGCTGACATGCCACTCTGGAACCTGTCATTCTTGTCCCAAAACAGTCCTTTGACTCCCAAATGTCATCCCATTAGGGGGGCGCTGTCATTCCATCACCATAATACTTCTGCTACTGCCAGGGGCTGTCATTCCAGTCCTAGAACACTTCTGCTACTGCCAGGGGCTGTCATTCCAGTCCTAGAACACTTCTGCTACTCCCAGGGGCCATCATTCCACTTGGGGGGGCTGTCATTCCAGTCCCAGAGCACTAATTCTATTTCTGGGGACTGTCTTTCCACTGTGAGACCTGTTATTTCAGCCCCAAAGCAGTTTATGTGGGCTCAGAGAATTAAATGAAAATCCACTCCACATTTTCATTGCAACTATTTTGTGCTGTGATGTATTTCAATGGAGCCCATGCAAGTCAATTGGCAATCCTGGCTCCTATTATTTCCAATGGGCCTTCAAGCCTCTCCCATTGTTTCCAGTGGGCAATCCTGTCATTTCTGTGGTTACCTGGTAGCACTTGAGGGAAACTGAAAGCTCACCTAACAGAGTTACAATCATTTATGAAGGCTTCATTTTCTAGTTTATGCCAGAGTCTTTGGGGTTTTTTGGCTATGTTTGTACAGTCTGCAATTATTGTTAACTACAAACAACAAAATGGGAAGGATACAAGGCCTATAAGGGGCAAGCTAAAAACCAAGAGCTGGATTTTTCCTATAAAAGAAGATCTAAGAGTGCATATTTTTAGTTGTTTTTAAAACTGCCATAAGTTTGGGAAAGGGGTGAATGCTAAAAATGCCTTATTTCTTTTGCAGTTTTGCCATAACCTATTGAATCAGACAATTCTGGTAGAATAAAAATGAGAATAACCTGCAACAATAGCACCTGCTATTATAAATTAGAAGAGGGAATTCATTCCTGACTCCCATTATGTCCAATGGGCCCTCAAGCTCTCCTATTGTTTCCAATGGGCAATCCGGTCATTCCTTTTAGTACATTTCTCTTCTGGGCACAATACATTGCACTTGTTTGGCTGGGTTTGCAAAAATGCCCCCAGTTTCTACTGCAGAGGTTTTCTGGCTTAACTTTAGACCTGTTGGGTTTGCATTGCCACAGTGGCACTGGTTCTGCTGGGCACACGGCACTGGTTATGCTGGGCTTGCAAAAATACCCCGCCACCTTCCGTTTCTACTGAGAGATTCTCCAGTTTGACCTTAGTCCATTGGAAACAATAGATGAAGGGGTCATTCCTTAGAGGGGCTGTGACTTGGACCCCGTAAATCCAGTCTTCACCAAGCTTGGACAGCAGGTAGAGAAAAGTCAGCCAGAGAACCCCTTCATGTTTAGTGCCTCTAGCACATCCGGGATGTGTGTTCTACTGCATCATGCTCACAAATTGAACTGGTTTGTTTAGCATTTAAAAGTTCATGAAAGTTCGTGGTTAGCGA